GGATTGTGATAAAAGTTGTATGAGCTCCTAATAAAACGATTTAAAAACAAAAAGACTAGTTTGTCCGTCCAGCAGTACAATTCATGAAAGCTAGTGCTTACATTAGCTCAATCCTGACATGTGTCCTTTTTTTTTTTTTTTAATAGATCATTTTTTTGGTTTTAAAAAAATCATTTTATTGGGACCTCTTACAACTCTTATAACATTCCATACATCAATTGATGACGCATATTTGTACATATGTTGCCCTCATTACTGCATGGCTTTAAAATCAGGAAAGGAGTGCATCAGTGTTGTCCTGTCATCATACTTGTTCAATCTGTGTACTGAACAAGTGATCACAGAAGCTGGCTTATATGAAGAAGAATGTGGCATCAGGATTGGAGGAAGGCTTAATAGCAATGTTCATTATTGTCGATCTCTTTTGGTTTTTTATTTCTTTTTAATAAACAAGTCTTTAGTTTCTAAATGGTATTGTTTTCTTGATTTTTCCCCTCAGAGCTCTTCTCAGTAATATACAGGAAAGTGATGGATTTTTATATATGACTCTTGTCTCCTGTCATGCTGCCTAATTTCTTGATTTTTTTCCCAACTTTTTTTGTTGTTTTTGAATCTTTGGATAGCATATTATCTGCAAAATAGTGAGAATTTGACTACTTTGTCCCTCTGTATTTCTTTGATTCCTTTTGTTGTCTAATAGCTCTTGCTAAGACTTGGAGCACAATGGTTTTTCCCCTTTTATTTATATTTTAAAAGATCATTTTATTGGGGCCTCTTACAGCTTTTATAACAATCCATATCAATTGTATCAAGCATATGTCGCCATCATTATTTTCTAAACATTTGCTTTCTATTTGAGCCCTTGGTATCAGCTCCTCTTTTTATCCTCCCTACCGCCCCCCTCTCACCCTTGTGACCTTTTGACAAATTATAAATTATTTTAAATTTCATATCTTACGGACAGCTGTCTCCCTTCCCCAGCGGTTTCTTCCTCTCTCCTCCTTCCTCCTATCCTCCTGGTATTGCTACCTCATTTCCCTTCCTGAGATGGTCATCTGACCTGGATTCCGTGTGTCGTGAGCTCTTATCTGTCCCTGTGCACATGCTCTGGCCTAGCCCGCAGTGAAAGGCAGCACTGGGGTCATGATAGTGGGGGGTGAGGACGCCTCAAAGAACCAGAAGGAATATCGTGTATTTCATCGGTGCTATACTTCATCCTGGTTGACTCATCCCTTCCTGGTGACCCTTCTGTGAGGGGATGTCCCATTGTCTACTGATGGGTTTTAGGTCTCTGCTCTGACCCCCCTCGTTCTCAACAATATTTTTTTTTATTAAAAGATCACTTTATCGGGGGCTTTTACAGCTGTTACTACAATCCATACATCAATTGTGTGAGGCATATTTGTACATATGTTGCCATTATTCATTTCTAGACATTTACTTTCTATTGAGCCCTTGGTATCAGCTCCTCTTTTTCCCCCTCCCGCCCTCCCACCAACCCTCGTGTGGCCCCTTGATAGATAATAAACTATTATTATTTTCATATCTCACACGATCACTGTCTCCCTTCCACCATGGTTTCTGTTGTTCGGGAGGTCTGACATGTGTCTTTTAAGTACATGAATACTTTACTAAGTGCAACGTCCTTTTCCAGGGACTGGACTCTCTTTATATAATACTCAATACTAATTCAACTGCCACTAATTACAAGTAATTTGTTCAGCATTCCAGTGTGGTGATTATCTTAGTTCTTACTCTAACATAGCAATTAAAGGGACCCTGTCAACAAATGTTTTGTTACATATATTTCACACACACACACACACACACACACACACA